TGTACACTAGCCTCCTCAGACGTTCCTAGTGACTGTCACACAACGTCCCCCTGCCTTCGGGGTCGCGGTAAAAAGCTGAAACGGAAACAGCTGAAAGAGCTGAAAAGTGCAGAAAAGCGCAGAACTTCTTATTATCATAGATAATAATCAGTAGACAAATATTATGAAAGATGATATAAAATAAATAATGTCAAACTAAAAAATAAAAAAATAAAAAAATTGAAAAAAATGTTAATTGCAGAGATACCAGCCAATGGACCGACCAGCAAGGTCAATGTCACGCATTCTCTTTACCGAAAAATAAAATTTTTACATAGTATTAGAATATAGATAAAATTAAATAAAGTCCATGCACAGAGATTTCTTGTTAAGCCGGCTTCTATCGTGCTGCTCAGATTTTGATCCTGGCTAGAATTAAGAGCTTCATTGCTGGACCGCTCGGTGAATGGTCAGCTTTGAAAATATTTCTTTGATACTGAACAGCCACTTAGAAGTCCAACTTCATATTGTGACGTTGATCACGTTACTTTTTCTGGAAGACCAAGCACCTTTTCTTAGCAACGGGCTGCTCATTAGTCAACATAACGTCGCTCGCCTACTGCGAAGACAGTTGTCAAGCGCTTCTCAGACTGAGCTAGATTTATTGCTGTTGTCGTTGTTGTTGTTGTTGTTTTTTGGCTTTCCTCGGCATAGTTTATAAAGGAAAAAAATCAAAGCTCTTGCAGCTCTTTCATGATAACAAGAGTGATGAAAGTAATTCAAGTACAGAAATAGGTTGAATTTATGACATTTCTACACTTTTCAGCTCTTTCAGCTTTCCGCTGTTTCCGTTTCAGCTTTTTACCGCGACCCCCTGCCTTCGTGCGAAGGGAAACGTTAGCGTTGCGTGACAGTCACTAAGAAYGTTTGCGAAGGAGGCCACTATACGTACTACACAGGCACCCTTAAATTCTTTTTGCCCATCAACTACATTAGAGAAAAAGGATACAGATTGTTGCCATCTTTATTTACAGAATGTAAAACTTTGTTCTGGCGAGTTACTAGATTTGTAGCACAACTTGACCGCAGCTGGCAATGGACTTTGCGTTTTTCGAGTTTAATGATGCGCTTGATGCGTTTTAGATGAGCAATTGCATGCGCAGCTAAAAAGGAAGTGGCATGTCATTGACTGAGCGCTTCCTGCCATTCACAGAGCGCGTTCACGCGATGAAATGCGCGTTGACAAAACACTGTAAAATTATATATCTTGATTTTACTTCTACCATGCAAATTTAACATTCAGCATATATGCGTGCAGCTGCTGTATCATTTGATTTGTCCAGGCTGCACTGTGCGCACATTTTTACAGACACACATCCTCGCACCACAGCTAAGGTTTTCGTTACTTATGTAAAACGCGCGCGCGTGTCTCTCTACTGTGTTATAAACACTCTGGGAGACACTAGAGAAAAATGTTTGCGCATGCGTGCACTTCAGCACGTTTTCTAAGAATTTTGAAGAGTTTGAGTGAGAAAATAAATGTTGTTTTCTCAAAGTACACAAAAAAGTTCGAGAGTATTCTTTTGTCAGACCAAGATACTGTATTAACAAACACAATATGAAATAATAAGCTTTAAGTTTCAAACATGGACACTAAGTTTTGGCAATTAATGAAGTCCAATTTATTAGCCATAATTGAAAGTCAAATTTAAATATGTTTTGACCAATTAGCATACGGATTCAGAGCATGCGCAGRCGTTTTTCACTCGTGTCACGCTGGGCAGCTGTAGAGCAAGAGAGAAGCAAGCTTAGGATTCAAAGCTTGYTKTTGCACGAGCGTGTCTCTGTCCTCTGATATAAACACGCGCGCGTTATATTTCAACAGGGCCGTTCGTGCTGAGGTAACGACTTAAAATTCAAGGACTATTCAAGGAGTATACAAGGACCCAAAAATGAATTTTCAAGGAGTATGTTCAGCTAACTATGCCAAGGTTTTACACGGTGGTTGCACATGGCTGATTTTAAGATTTTCCGATATTTCTGACTAAATCTATTTCAGAACCATGCAAGTAATGATCAAAGCAAAAATTCAAGGAGTTTTCAAGGAGTTTTGCTAAAATCGTAAAATTCAAGAGCTTTAAGTGCCCTTGAAAACGTGAATTAAATTCAAGGAGGTTTCATAATGATCAATTTAATCAATGCAGAGGCATCAACCCCACAGGAGTGCTTCGATCATTCATATTATTCTCGTCATTTTTCTGAATATCATCTTTAAACTGGCTGTTCTCTGCAATAAGTATATCTGAGAACTTCAAGGTCTTCACCGTAGGTATAGCGTGGACATCGTTAACGTTATAATTAGCAGTCAATCCATTTGTAGCCGAAGCTGGTTGCGCTTGGTCACTGAGTGCATTAATTTTTCTCGGCACTAAAACTTGGATGATTAAATTCTTCAAGTGTTTTCTAAAAAGCCCGCTGTAAAAAGCGTAAATTACCGGATTAACAGACGAGTTAAAGGCTACCATGACGACGGACGCAAGATAAGCGACATTACTAAATCCATGACTAGTYTCAAAGTAAACAAGAATGTAATTGGTCAGAGGTGGAAACCAACTTGCGCAGTACAGAAAACTGATGACGAAAAGAGCTTTGCTGACTCGTTTACGTGTTTTCTGCCTGACTTGACGAATCATGAGTTTTCCTTGTCTCGCTTCTCCTTTCTTGATCCAAAGATCAAAGATAACATTAGAATAAAAATAAATCATTATAAATGCAGGGATTACCCCGGCGGTGAACACCCAAAGTACTGCATAGCCTTGCGAAACAGTTTTCGATCCCCAATCTTCGAAGCAAAAGTTGATCTGTTTGTTGTATCGAACCACGAAAAAAAGTGGTAAACAGAAAACAAATCCGTAAAACCACGCAATGAACGATAAGTTGCGCACAAGTTGACGAGAAAATTTCCTGGAATACTGATGAGGCAAGCAAACAGCATAGTACCTCTCTGCCGCGATGATCAGGAGTGAGCAGATCGAGGTGATAGCACCTATCCATGCGATGTTCCCTCCCGTAATAAACTTGCAAAGCATATCGCCTGCAGTTCCAGTAGGATGCGGGTCGATCAAACCAAAAAATATATGCCTTGGAGCAAGGAATATGAGTACAGTTGAATCTGCGATCGCAAGGTTCAGGAGAACAATGTTAATCGGCTTGGTTCGTCTCAGGAATTTATTTCTTGCGATGATTAAGATAACTAAAGAGTTTCCAATTAAACCCATGGTTATTACCAAAGAGAAAGAAGCGAGAAGACCTATCCTTGCTAATTCGTCCATGTTGACTACAATCTGGAAATGAAAAGAACGATATGTTTAGTTTCGAGATTTGGGTGAAAATTAAATGGAYAGAATCAGACGACAAACAAACAAACGTCTTGTATATTTGAACTAGCTTGATATTGACCGTGTTCAGGGGGAGGAAACTTGGAGTCAAAATGATGAACTTTGTGCTACTAAAAGATTCAAATCCTGGYCCGCTTTCGTCAAATGAATATTCGAATTCCGGATCTAAAACCTTCGATCTCTAGATCTTTGAGCAAGTTTTCACCGCTTTATCCTGGTAATGTCCTTCCTACTTTTCAAGGAATATCCACCACCTTCTAGATCCATCGGCTCACTGGTCATGACACACAAAGCATTGAACAGAACCTGCACGATAATTTCAAAAGATTCGATTAAGATTTGAACCTCACAGCTTCGATTAATGGCTTTATGTTTGGTCAGTGAACAAATGTATGGAAARTGGTGAACATAATAAAGCCAAATTTGGGGTACCTCTTGAATTGAGCCAGCATATACATAAATGTTATTAGAAGCTTGCCAAGAATTTCGACTTGAATTGATTACTTCTGTATTGCACTTACATCAGCCAGACCYCCCGCCCCCATTCTTTATTTGTACCTCTGCAAGCAGGTGAAATTTATTGCCATCTCAATCGGTGCGTCTGATCGGCTATGAAACTCACCTTTTAAACGATATCCTTTGTTAAAAGTATTTTTTTAAATTTCATTTTACCCATTAAAGACGTAGTCCATTAGTATCGATGTCTAGGATAGCAATAGATTTTGTTTTTGTTTTTAGGGAGCTATATTCCTATATTACTGGTTTTCCGAGATTTCGGAGCTCGTTAGACCGGTTTCAAACTTTTATATGACCTCAAAGCCAGAAGTAATAGTCTTTGTATTTATGATGTACTGAAGGAGTAACCTTATTTTGATAAAGATATTCAATTCTTTACAAACGAATCCTAGAATTTTAGACCCATGGGCAACTTATATTTCCGTTAAAACATATTCCCAAAATAAATAAATAAAGTCGTTGAACTATTGAAAATCTAATTATGAAAGTAGACAAGGCTATCAATTTGAATTGACGTTTTAGGTGACAATTTGCTTTTGGCGAARAAAAGAATGAAGAAAAACAAATAATGGAACGAGAAAGATTTTAACTATACTTACTTTAATAYAAGGCAGAACGTCATCGCTCGTTTACTCAAGGCCGACAATTTCACTGTGAAATGACACTCAATTCGAAATCACTTTGGTCATGTACGATATAAGATCTAGGAATGATTTGAGGCTTGGATGCTAAAAGTAAAGTACTAAAGACTTTATTTTAAAACGAATTTGATCCTCAAAGACAAAAGATACATTGGTTCAGTTTTAGGTAGTTTAGTAAATTAATTAATGGCTCAGGTAGAAAACCTTGACCATGGGTATCATTTCTCATTCGAAATTAAACTCCTAAATAACAGTTGCTGATATATTGATCAGCATTGACTAATCTATCGGTAATGACAGCTGTGTTTGAAAAAKAATATTTTCATAAATTGTCATATTTAAATATTTTTTCGAACAATAATATTGAACAATATTTGAATTGAAACGCGAAGGAAAAGAAAAGGAAGGAAGACAAAAAAAAAAAAGAAGAGATTTTACTGATAAATAGACAAGAAAAAAATAAGGAAAGAGAGAGAGAGAGAGAGAAAGAAAGAGTGAGACAGAGAATGGTGCAATTTTTGTCCAGAAGAAAAATAAGCTAAATATTCAGCCCGCATTGGAACTATAGATCTCTGATAATTCATGAGTAATAGAGACTGGAAAAAGAAAGAAATATATCTCAAGGGAACGAGTACTACATTATTACCCAAAATGAGAAAACATTTCCAAAGAATTATTGTTAAGGACGACCATTTTAGTTACCGGTGTACGACCAAAGTCGCACTGGTCGCTTTACAGAGGTGGTCAATTTTATAAAAGGGCGACACTTAATATACAATTATTGGATGAGGCTGAGCATTATATTGCATTTTAGTTGAGCTGTTTTTGTAACAAGAGAAAGTAGTCGGTAATTAACAGAGGTTCGCCYTAAGAAAATTTCTTATTGGGCTTAAGGTTTTCCCATTTAAAACCTCTTAGGAATATATATTTTTGGTATTATTCAAATGATATGTTTTGATAGCTGTGATCGTTGCATTTTTCATTAGCAAGAAAAGGTAATACTAAGAAAAAGACAAGCGGTCTTTCTCAGTGCTCAAATGGAAAAATACTTTTCGCKTGAAAAAATGCAGCTCAAGTCATGGCAATTGATTATAACCACTCTTTGAGAAGGACGGTGTAACGGTTGATGATTGTTAGTAAGATTTTTTTTTATTTGAGAAGCCAAAACCAGTCTAAACAAACATGTCTTACCTATTGCAGCCAATGATAAATCTCTTTTTDTATAAATATATATACTTTTTTAAAAACTTTTGCCTTGAATTACAACATGGAGAMGCGCTATTTATTATACTAGAAATGGATGGGTATTATTTTAACTATTTCCATCAATCGATCATCTAGCTAGATCTTTTTAACATCAGTCCAAGTGCGATACGGTAAGTTTATGCAGGTGCTTGTATCTACTGAAAAGCCTAAACAAAAGGTAGCCATTATCACCTARAGATACTTCAATTCGTTTTCTCATAGTTGTTTAATTTACTAATAGACAGCCCCTGGGAATGTTACACCTTAAAAATTCTTACAATAGTCCCCTTCACAGTTCCAGGCGYCATCTTGAAAAATAGCCGTGTCTTTGCATCACGAGACGAACGGTGAGCTTATTGCGATAATATRRCTTTTTTTAACACCTTGGACAAGTATTCACATGCCAGTTCTATCATTGCTAGCTCATCATTCGTCTCGCTTCGACGCAAAGGCACAGCTACCTTTCAAGATGAAGCAGCTAGGGAAGTGTGACTATTGGTTCTTGTATTTAATAGGTTTACGTTTTGGGAAGAGGCTTTTGAATTGGTTGCAAGYTCTTTTGCTTAGCCTTGTTCACAGGCTAACATCAACGTCCGATTATTTGCATCAATAAATTTCTTAGAACCACAATACCGACACTTAATTTTAATTATAACACCATTTGAACAGTTATTTACTTTTTCCTGTACACAAACTAAATTAAAGTTAACATAGTTAATAATCTTTATATGTTATTCAACTAAACTAACTTTACTAGATTGGTTTTGATCCGTTCTAAAGGACATGTTACAGCTTTTRACCGATTATTTATTTAAAGAAAATGTCAAATAAAAATGGTAG